AAATGTTCATATAAAAAGTTCCAGTAATGAATTTGAATTACTGAAACTATAATAATTACAATAATAATATTTATTGTAATTGCACTTATTCAAAAGAAAGTTTTTGAATAAATGATTTTAATGAAGAATTAGTAAATATAAGAGTTGTATTCACTGAGAGAGAGGTTTGTTAGAAACAAACCTAAGAGAAAAAGAAAAATAGCAACAAGGAAAATAATTTTTGGAAACATTTTTAAAAAGTAATTGATAAAGTTTTAAAAAAGTTAAAGTAGTTTTGATTTCAAGATTTTAAAACGAATAAATCGTAAAGGTTTTAGTTTCATTTCAAATTCTTTTATCATTAAAAAAATTTATTAGAACATTTTTAGTCTAATTGAAAATGTACAAAAATTTTTTCGATAAGAAATATACTTGCATTATCAAACAATCTGTTTACTGATAAATATACCTAAATAAAGTAATAGAACTATCATTAAACTAAATTTAGTTATATTTCAAAGTACTTAATTTTTTGGGTACCAAAAATACTCAGATACTAAGATCTGATTGGTTAGATTTAAAACTACTTAGTTTTCAACGATACTCAGATTACAAATTATTTTGAACTTAATAAATTTGAAAATCTATCTTGTTTAATTTTAGATTGTATAACTGTGTAAAAATTATAGTTTTATTTTATTTATTATTATTATATTTATTGTACCAACAATCTGAATAGTAATGATTATGCTTATTACAGATATTACAATATCTTGTTTTTTGTTTAAAAAAACAATTTTTCGTATTATGATTATTTTTTTTAATTTTTTCAAACGTGAAAAAATTTTATTAAAAATAATAATTTTATTAAATAAAATATACATTATTTTTGAATAATAATATTTTCTGCATCTAATCCTGTGATAAACAGATTAAATAAATCAGCTTCGATAACAACATTTTCTAAGATAATTCTCTTATATTTTCTTCTTTTTTTATTAATTTCTTCTTGAAATAATCTTTCAGCTTCTAGTTCTTGTTGATTATTTTCTGTTTGATTAATTTCTTCTTGTTGATTATTTAAAAATTCAATATATTCTTCATTATGATTTTTTTTAAAATGATTTTTGAGATTTTTTACACTTGTATTTGATACATAAGATTGTTTACAAATTAAACAAACAAGTTTTGATTTATCAATACAGAAATAATTTTGAATTTCATGTAATTTTCTTCCAGTTTTATTATCTAGATTAGAAAATTTTCTTTTAAGATTACTTTTAATCATAGAATTCTGATGAATTGTTTGTTCATTCTCAAATTGAATATTATCAAGATCAGCCATTTTGAATAAAGAACCTATAACATTTCTCTTGATATTTATTAAAAATTATTTATTTTACGTGTTGTTTTGTTATACAAAATTATATAACTAATCAAATATTTCCTTTTAAGGATTTCCTCAAAGAGTTAAATTATGTAAACAATTTACTGATCATGAAGAAAAAGATGATTAGTTAATTAATTTTAATCAATCACAAGAAGAAATCGAATAGATTTCTTCTAATCAAGAAGAAAAAGATTATTATAATTATCTTCAGGATAATAATTATAATAATTATATTTACTATAAAAAAAATTATATTCCTAGTATATATGAAAGATATGAGGAATGTTGTTATTCGAGAACATCAACTCCTGATATATATAGCGAAGGAGAATTTGACCCATAAATTTTATTTTTTATCTGTAAATCTTATTTTAAAATCTTATTTGTATTTCTTAATTATTTTTAATAATAAATCTTAATCTAAAAAGTTGATGGAAATCTTTCAAGTTTTTCATTACACTTGTTACAATCAGGCATAAACCTTAGTATCATGTCTTTCATAAATTTTCTATGCATTGCAACTTGTTCAGTAAATGTAATATTAGGTATATTCATTGCAATTTCAGTATCTCGATCCATACGTTGTATAACAAACCTTTTTTCAGATTCTGTTAAATTTCTTTCAACCATATGTTCAACTGAACAAATTACTCTATTATAAGTTGTATTTGTTCTATTTTGTATTTGCTCTAATTCCCTTTGAGTTTGTTCATATTGTTTACGTAAATTCTCCAAATTTTCTTCTGACATTTTTATAAAAATAAATATAAAAATACTTCTATTTATAATTTTTAAAATATATAAATAAACTTTATTTCTTTAAAATTAAAATAAAATGAATTTTGCACAAGAATCTGAGATCTCTCCTTGGAGAACAGTACATCCAACGTTCAAAGTTCTTGATCATTGGATATGGGGCATCAAGAAACCTTGTGGAAAAAAAGTTTATAATCAGATCAGACTTGTCTCAATTGATAACTTATCTTATATTGAAGTTAAAACACAGAAATTTAAGATTACTTTTCTCACAGATATCTCAAACTACAAACATGTTCAATCTTATACATAGACTGTTTTTAAATCAACTAATAGTAATACTTATTATGTTGCAACAATAATTAAAAAGGATAATAAACAAAAAATTTTACAATTTCATAGATTACTTCATTCTGAATGGAAGATGATCATATTAATCGTTCAGGTTTAGACAATAGAGAAATTAATCTTAGAAAAAACAACTCCAAGAGAAAATGCTTTATTTAAAAATAATAAATCTGGATATAATAGTATTAGTTATTATAATTTTAGTAAAAAATAGAGATTTTTTTATTCTGAAAATAAAAAACGTAAATTTAAATGGTTTAAAAGTAAAGAAGTAGCAATAAAATTTAAAGAAAAACATGATAAAATCACTAAAAATCTAAATAGGTATCTTGTAAAGTTTTAATTTATATTTTTATTAAATAAAATTGATATATTTAGCCTTTATAAATTATAAAAAATTTGCAAGTTTCTAGTCTCACTACGTAGAAGTATATATCATGAGACCAAAAGTTTGTATGAGGAGATTTGAATTTAGGTGAGGAGATATCTCGAGACACCAGCTCAATTTAGAGATATACCTTTTCATATCTCAACTCATTTTATAACCCAG